CCCCTGATTACTTGCCCAGCAATGCCAGCATGCCGTTGTGGCCTTGATCTGCCATGCTTAAATAATTGTGCACGTCAGCCTTCTTTGCCGATGACATGTCAGCAACATGCCCTGTGTCCTTAATGCTTCCAGGAAGCTGTCATAGAAAGTATGTGTCTCTACTGCGTGAACTATCCCCGGTGCCATCATCCGCCACATCCTCTCGTAGCATGTCCCACATGTGGTGTTGGTCGTACACCTACTGCAACTGCACTCAATTCCTTCTTCCTCACCTGATGAACGGCAGACACAATAGCATGAGGAAAATAGACTATCATTATACCATATGCACCATCTACAGAGCCAGTGCTGATAGGTTATCCCCACCGGGGCGAGCTGTTGCAGACCAGATCTTGCAGCAGCTAAACACCTTTGCAGCTTTGCTTAGGATCAACCTTCCACGTCATTGTCTACCCGTAGAGAAGGAATAACTACTGAGGAAACTCAAGAAACCTGCTCCATCATTGCTCCATGCTGCTTTGTGATGACCCGCTGAAAACTCAGCTAGCATGTGGTTCACAGTCCTTATGCCAGGAGGATTATGAACGGATAGCCCGGGCGCACTTTTGTGTTCATACGTATGATGACAGTCTACACTGCACTCAATGACATGTAGGGCACCCTCACTGGGCCTGACATGTCATGTAAGTTGTAGACAGGGGCTGGAAGCCTGGAACGACAATGCCTCTACAATTGAGGTCCACGTGCCTCTGTGTTCCTGGCATGTACGAGCCGCATAGCCTGTGACATCTGTCTACGCCGGGCCATTTGATGCAGCAATAACTGCGAAGGCCACACTCAAACCGGTCCTGCCCGGTCTGTAGAGGTGGCTATTTACCATAGGCAGTGTTAGGCACTTATCGTAGGCAACGGGCCAACGGCTGCTCCTAAAACCTTATGCAACCCACACACTGACTGGCCTCATGTGCCATTCTAGAGTGCTTTCCTGCCCCCCCGCTCTTGTCAGTCTTGTGTGTTACTAGTAATACATACAGATGAGCATCATTAAGAGAACAGACAAAATACAACCAGGCATTAACTGGGAGCGCCACGTGGAAAATCAGCCATCGCATGCTTTTAACCCTGCCTAACCTTATGGTGTTCAGTGTTGACCACGACAGGTGAGCAACCTGTGCCCTAGGCACTTCCAGCCTCCTTTCCCATCTTGTGGCCAGAGAATCTGCCAGTGGGTGGGACCTCCTTCTGAGTCTGTATCCCAGATGGGTTGAGTAATGTAGTATGTTTATTCTCCTGGTGACCCTCAGCCTTCCACCCCTGAGGTTCCATGCCCATTCTGCTGGGTCTACCTCCAAGTCTTCTAGTGTCGTGGAATGTACCTCCTCCTTTCATAGTGTGCAAGTGGGCAATTATGGCACACGGCCTTGTACATGAGAGGCCAGGTAGATGGGGAGCTGCAAGAACAAATGAAAGGGGTAGTACCCCAAAGAAAGAAGAAGTGAACACAATTAGGAAAGGGGTTGACATGCCTCTATTACAATGAGTCTCAATGTTGGTTGCTAAACTTGCTATACAGGTGACACTGTTTCATTGTTGGACTGTCTCAACTCAAGGGCTTTCCTTGTCTTCAATAGTATTGAATATACTATCAGTTTAGATCTGTTCATCTGGGGGGAACAAGGGCTGTTGTGGTGAAAATTCAACACACACACACACACACACACACAGAGTCAGTGAAGGACCAAAGTTACCAAAGTTTAACAGTCTGGCACAGTCGTGCAGTATATATTGGGGTGTATAGTTAATATGACAAAACGTGCACACACACACACACACACACACACACACACACAGACACACACAGAGAGAGAGAGAGAGAGAGAGAGAGAGAGAGAGAGAGAGAGAGAGAGCCTCTACTCTAGCAAGTTTGACCAGCACTTTTTCATGACAAAAAAAAAAGAAAAAGAGGAACAGAGGAGGAAACTCTCGGACGACGTCAACAAGAATTGGTACATTCTCCAAGACGTCCTTGATAGGGCGTCGCTCCACTCCTCTCGACATGTGCAAAAGTGAGAATGAATCTTCCCCCCAAACATGGAAAGATACACCGCCATGTTTTTTGTCACTTGTGCATGTGGACAGTAGTGGAGGAGGCCCATACCCTTCGAAAACGGAAGAACATGTCAACACATCTTGTTTGCTTGTCCTCCATTTCTTTTTGTTGTTTCCCCTCTGGTTTTGTAAAGACGACAACGGCAACTCGACGTATCGACTGCGCTCCGTTCCTTTGTATCCCACCCTCCCACGTTCATTTCCAACCCCAACGACAAATCAATACGGTTTTTTTTTTTTTTTTTTCACCAAATCAATACAACTTCACTAGCCCATCCTTTACCAATCTCAACAATCACACTATGTACAAACCAAACCGTAGGTGGAAAGAGAAGATCAATCAACTCAGGGGCCTACCTTCTTCCTCCCCTGAACACAAAGCAGCCTGATAACGAATGTACACAAGCTATCTTTCCGGTCAAGTGCGGCCAAAATGAGGGTACTAGGATAGGTTATCTTCGCGGGAAGACAGTAGTTCACACCCTTTCGTCTTCTTCTGCGTGGCTACTGGGAGTCTGTGAGGAATGAACAAGCCCTCCACAGAGGAACACGTAACGAGGAGATGCTCTTACCACCACTGTAATGGGCTGACCTGTGATGAAGTTTCCAAAAAAAACAGAAAAAAAGAGAAAAAAAGGAATGAACATCAACCAATCCTCGGGTCAGATGCACTGGCGTAATTCCGCAGTCTTCCGGCACTGCCACCTCGTCTCCAACTAGAGGATTCGCAGTGCCGGCCTCCCTATAGAGGACAACGTACCTTTATCATGACTGCATCGGGCCAGAAAACTCGCTTACATACATTCACGAGGGTCTGTTGTGCTCGGCGGAGGACGGTAATGTTGCTCTCGAGTGAGGGTGTACTCACACTAGCCGTATCTCGAATGTACCTGACCGCATTCACGGCCATACCTGCATGTATCTTGCCGAGATTCCGTCCAAAAATACGTAAAAAAGTCGGTAGTGTGAGTTTGCCCTGAGACGCCGTATCCTCATAGCAAATCGACAAAAACGTGACAGGATGATGACGATGCGACCAGCGTCCATCTCCTCAAGCACGAATTCGGCCCTGGTTACACTACTCGCCTTCCGCCAAGATGCATCGGGACAAAATGATGTCCACATGCATTCAAAATGTTGGCGGATGGCCCGTAGTGCGACCAGGCCCTTCTTCTGAAATTCTTCAGCCTTCTGGAAAAGCAACCCAACCCAGCGCAGTTTGTAGAAGGGCCAATGCAGAGCAGACGAATCGTTTTTCTTAACCTTGCGACGCTTGCGTTCTTCTTCTCCTCCTCCTCTTCATATCCTACTACAAGGCCCTCCTCCCTCCTTGTCCTTCTTGCCCTGCAGCACCTCCCCCCTCTTCTTCTCCTTGCACTGCTGACTCTCCCACTCCTCTATGACCCACTCCCCCAGCAGGGCAAGGAGAAGAAGAGGGGGGAGGCAGACATGATTACACCCCCATTCAATCACTAGGGATGGGGGGTGGCAGACATGATTACACTCCCTTCCCTTCCTCTCCGCCCTCCTCCCACGTCGTGTAAGAGGCAGGGCCTGAGGGAGTCAGGGCCTAAGCCTCCCATTCCCCTTCCTCCTAGCCCTGCAGCCGCACTTCCCCGTCGTTTGCCCCTGTCCTGAGCCAAAACTGCCGGACCCTTGACCTTGCCCTGTGGTCCCCCCCTGCTCCGCCCGTCCCAGTCCTGCAGAACCCCCCTCCATTCCTCATCCCTGCCCCCCCTCCCCGCCACCTGGCCTATGAGGAATGTGACCCCCTACTGGCCCCGGTCCGCCTTGGCCTAGAGCCGCGCTCTCAGTCCCCACCTCTCCCCCCCCTCCCTGCGCGACCGACCCTCTGTCCCCTCCATGCCCTAGCCCTGCTACTCCCCTCCCTCCTGCAGCGCTATGCCCGGCCTCCTCCGGCGCCCTCATCTCCTCCTTCTTGGGGGGCACCACCAGCACGTCATCCTCGTAAATGGACGCCGGGTTCATGTCTTGCAGTCTCGCCCTCGAGATACCCAGCTTCTCTGCAATCGTCGACATCGTGTCGCCCCTCTGCACCACATACACCTCTGGTATCCAGACAACCTGACCTGGCGTCAGCTGCGCCCTGTCAGGAATCTCGTTCGCTTCGATCAAAAAGTCGCTCTCAATGTCGAATTGCTGACCAATACTTGCCAGCGTGTCGCCTGGCCTCACTGTATAATACACGTTGTGCTTCCCCTTGTCTCCAGGCTGAGCCACTCTGGCCTGATCTGCAGGCACGTGGGCGCCTTTCCTAGAACGAAACCAATTCAAGAAGCGAAATCGATTCACCCTGTCCAAAGGGGGTTCAGACGTGGCTCGAGCGATCCCAACTCCCCCACATGAGGAGGTGGTCTTCCCTCCCCTGCCATTGGAATTGGGAGTCTCCGACTCCATCAGAAAGCCACCAGCAGCAGAATCTGACCGCTGATCTGCATCTGCATGCTGAAGATCCCTACGCCAATCTGGCGCTATTAACGAAGAAGATTCGAGAGCCGTTGCTCCTCTGCCGCTCGACAACGACCACGGGCTGCCGCGCGGAGACGACCCGCTTGCCCGGATGATGCGCCGTAAGGGCGTAGACTCGGTAGAGCATGCCCTCCGCCACGAATGCGCCGGAAGCGCTGGTGGTGTAAGGCGCCGCTGCTCCGCCGATCGAGGCCGCTGCATTGACACCCAGCTCCTCGGTGGGCAAATGACGCCCATCGCTGCCCCATAACAGACAGCAACGGCAGTTGACGCCTTCTCCATCTTGGTCAGCGATCGACCTCCTCCTGTGTTGCTGTTGCTGCCTGCAGGCCCTCTTCTGAGTCGACCTTAGCTATCAGATAGACACTAGAGATGAAGAATGGTGAGCAGTCCGTGAAACATCAGCAGCCCACCTCCAGTGTCCAGTGACACATGGACCTCGCCTCTACCACAACTGTTACACTCTAATTATACTAGCTCGTTCGCACAGATCGACTTCCCCGTAATTAGAGATCAGCTGAGCAATCTGCGGCTCTCCCTCTATGGCCAGACGGTCCGACGCCATCCCGCGCGGTCCCGCGCAGAACAATCGATTCGATCGTTGCCGCCGTCACTGCATCGAAGAGTGCTTGAAACGAGAGCGACTTTTTACTTTTATATATCACTGAGGACTGAATGTCGTGTGGTGGCGGACCGGCGCACGCGCAGGCTGAGCGAAAGAGAGTAGCTCAACGAGCGCTTTGGTCGGCAGGCGCGCAGAGAGAGTGCAGACATCCCCTGCCGACTCCCACGACGTTCTCCACCTGCCCACGCGCGAATCTCCTGACAGTATCGACGCCTCGCAGATGCTCCTGGACCTGTTCCTCTTTTCTTTTTTTTTATTAATATTGTTCTCTCAATTTCACCTTTCACTACCTACCTACCACTACTACTAAGCCTATGCATGCACCCCCTCGTGTACTACTAAGCCTACCTATACATGCAATGATGCACCCCCTCGTGTACTACTAAGCCTACCTATACATGCAATGATGCACCCCCTCGTTTACTGCTAAGCCTATACATGCACCCTTTCGTGGCCCTGTTACACTACGCGCCAAATGCGAAACTAACGTGCGTATCCGACATACGATGCATTGGCCACTGTCCATTTCTCACTCATTTGGGGCCTCGCTGCACTACTCTCGACATGCACAACAGACAAAAATCATGGCGGTGTATCTTTCCATATTCTAGGGGAAGATTCACTCTCGTTTTGCACATTTCGAGAGTAGTGCGGCGAGGCCCTTGGCTGCGGGTGCTGGAACTGAATGTGGTAACCGGGAGGCTCACTATAAGAGCCATTTACGCTGAATTATGATATGTTGACGCCCTTGTGATGACTGGAGACGCTTGGCGAAGAGGCTGCGCGTGTGTAGCCCGACACAGTTGAAGATGACGACGGTTGAAGCACGTGATGACTGAAGGTCAACTTCGGGCGGAACCGCGGGCCAAGAGTCCGTAGATGGATGTTGTTGAATATGGGGGTTGATTCCAAAAAAAAAAAAAAAAAAAAAAAAAAAAAAAAAAAAGGGGGTTGAAGGGGATGAATATTCTGATCTGCCTTATCTTTTCCGGCTGAGGGATGCACAGGCCCAGTCCATCCAGATAAAATGGAACGGAAATTGTTGAATATGGGGGTTGAAGTGGATGAATATTCTGACTTCCCTTATCGTTTCCGGCTGAGTGATGCACAGGCCCAGTCCAGATAAAATGGAAATACCACTTGGAAAAGAGTCATAAAGTTGGAGCGCAGGCGGTGAGGGTGGGTGGGGCTGCTACGCCGACATTGGTGAGGTGAACGACCTGTCCTCGGAGCAACGGAGCAACCGGTTGACTTCTTGATGTGACTTGCAGGGTTGTGTACGCAATGGGCATGGCAGCTGGCGGGCACCATCTGTAAGGCACGCCATGCGCATTGACACAGCCTGCTGCGACCGGTCCTGCACCGGTCAGTACGGTTACTTATACGATAGCTGTGCCTGGGAGCAGTAGCGGTTGGGCTGCCGAGGGTCTTCTTCCTGCCGGGTAAGTCCCATTGGAACTTGCATTCGCACCGTTGATGCTGATCCCGAAACAATCTGATCGTTGATCAGGGAAAGACTGTGTAACCCTGCACAAAAACAGGCCGTTTGTACGTTCGAATGGCCGTACGAACGCCCGCCTCGACGGTCGTGCGGCCCGTACAAACGGGCCAAAAAAATGGCCGCTCGAGCACAAATGAAGGCCTTCCAGGGGGGAGGGGGGGGCGTTTTTGACGGTTCGGGGGCGGTGCCGGATGTATGGGGCCACCCCCCAGAAGAAAAAAATAAGGGGAAACTACGCGGGAATCCCAAAATTGAGTTATAATGGCACTATGGGCCAGGATACAGTTTCAAATTGCAGTTCGGGCAATGTATACAACCCAGCTTTCTGGCCAGGTAGGGTGCCCGAAGTGCAATTGCAAACTGTATCTTGCCCCATAGTGCAATTAAAACTCATTTTTGTGGCTCTACTGAAGTTACCCAAAAACATACTACTATTTTTTATTTTTTTGGGGATGGGATCAGGATAAACCAAAAACAATTACAAAATAAAAAAGATTGATTGATTGATTGACTGATTGATTGATTGATTGATGGGCGGAGGGTCGCCCATTCACCCCGACCCCACCCACCCACACCCACACACACACACACACACGTGTAGTCGTGCATATTTTCGTGTTCTAGCAGAATATTCATTCGATTTTGCTCATCCTATCGATGGAAGTAGCATGAGGCCAGCTGCGGGGTTGGAGACTTACCTGCTGGCCGGTGTGTTGCTTTTCCTATCGATGGAA